TGGGAAATTAACACATCTAGGAAGAAGGGGGCTGCAAAATATTGGTATACTTGTTGGCAAGAAGACTGAATGATGTGTTTTTGTAGTTACCACTAGTTGAGGTTTTCGTTAACCTTTGTCAAAGCACTTTGGCTGATCTCAAGAAGCTAGACCCAACTAATACCTGGATATACAGCCACCAGGAAAATTCAGTCCTGTAGACTAGATTGGGAAAGCATTTTTTTCCCAGAAGTCAATAGATAAGAATTTTTGTGTTGTTGCTAAAAGAGCTACTTGGACCTGGCTATGTAATAGTTAGGCATTGAGCTTTGACTTTATCTTACAATCATGGTCAAGTACTTCCACATGCTCAGTGCAAACACAAGAGTACGTGGCAGACATGTGACAATATAATCACACCAATGACTTACGAACTTGTGTCAGTTGTCCTGATGCAAATATATGATTGCACCATTTGCAGGACGATGTCATTGCATGCATGTGGTCATTGTCTTTTGGATGCTACTGTGGAAGCATTAAAAAAATCAAACAATAGCAAACTGCCTCCCTGTCCTGTACCTGAATTATAAAGAGAATAATTCAAAGTATACTTGGTATACTTCTGAAATCAACATGATGCATTATACCTGTATGTCCTATTTGCAAAAAAAAAAAAAGTTACCTTTATGTAAATCCATGTAGGGTTGAGCTACAATTGCCTATTTGTTTGAAACTCTTTTCTAAGAACATAAATATAAATTTCTTTTAGTATATTCTCATTCTGTGCAAGTAAAATTAAGTGGACCAAAGCACTTTCTTTTATAGTTTCTATTTTGGTGGAATAATGAAAAATAACTATTTTCCCCTAATATTCTCTATCACAAAACTAAATACTAACTAGCATTCATACTGTTCGGTATCCTTCTGTCCTGGCTTCTACAATATACTGTAATTATGATTTAACATTAGCAGATAACAGATTCAAACACTTTCTTGCTCAAAAGAAAAGTATGTGGATGTGTATGTCTGAGAGATAAAAACCAAAAATAGGAACAGAAAATTATGCAAGGTCAACTGAGGCAGATCAAGACCATGATGTGGGTCCGGGGAGTGGATGGTCTGCTCCTCCTGGCAGCTATTTGTCATGAAGGAATTGTCCTTCAGCACAGAGATGTTGATTGGACTTCCTGAAAAAAAAAAAAAGGCAAGGTGGCTGAGAAGCATTGCCTGATTTTTATGTGAGGTGCAATATTCTTTGGACAGCATGTCAGGGAATTGCGCAGCAGGTATCCAAATGAAGTAATAGATGCTGACACAAACTTGTAGTTTTATATAAATAAGTATATTTTACATCTATCTATCTATCTATCTATCTATCTATCTATCTATCTATCTATCTATCTATCTGTCATCTGTCTATCTATATCTATCCAGCAAACTAGATAGTCCGGCAAACAGGAGCATCATGAGGTAAATCACAGAGCACACAGGGCACACAGAAGAAAAAGGCTGGGAAAAAAGGAAAACTCCCCTTTCATATCCACAGCAACCAATCACAGCACAGATTGCCTCATGCAGGTGCCAGCAATCTCAAACCAATAAATATAATTGTGTGTTCTGGCTCATTGTACAACCTCATTGTACCAGCTACTAAATTTAAATATCTTAACACAGAGTTTTTGTTCATGCTGTTGTGGCCTCCACATTCTGCAGATACCCCTGCTTAGCACAAGCCACCTACTTCAACTACCCTCCTGTTCCAGTCAGCCATTTCTTTAAAATGCCCATGGCCACATGATGTGAAAGTAACATGTCTTTCAGATCTCTAGAAGGGTCCAAAAGTGATTTGCAAGGGAAGGGCTATGGCAGACATTTATAGAAGTGGGCTGAGCAACACTAAATCGAGCACCAATCTCAAGTCTGGGAACAAAGATAAAAGGCCCAAGAATTAGCACTCAAATATGGCAAGGCTGCCCAGCATTCTGGATGGGCAAATTACCACCTACATATGGGATTGGTAATCACAAATACTATGCACTATTTTTATTATAACCGTCATTCTTCTACTTTTAGCCTTCACCCCCCTGAATTCAGTAAAGGAAATCTCACCTTAAAAGAGCTTTTCTATTTCAGATTTTCCTGTCTTTAATAATTGGGTATGACTTCTCTATCCTCTCCTATATTTCGCATTATAGAGTTGCAAATCTTTCTCTCCTTAATCCTAATTCCTCTCCCACATTACTAATGGCATTAAGACAATTAAAATATTCCAATTGCATACCATTCTACTTCAGAAAATAATTCTATTGAATCAAATATGGTATATAATAAGTTTGCACTGTAATTGTAGCAACACCTTTTTTACTTGTAGGTTTTCAACTATATAAAAGTTAAAAAAAACACTGCAAAAACTGAATTCTTTGCAGGAATTCCAGGGTCATTCTAAACATTTCTACCTTGTCTTTAAAACTATTATTTTTTAAAAAATCCTACACAATACAAATGGCAAGGAAACTAGTTTTAATTGTGATATGAATGCTGTATGGAGGAGTTGTTTCTAATCCAGCTACTGTTTCTGAATTCTGTATTAAAGGATGTGACAATATAGTTTCATGGTTTCATGACTGCAAACAGAATAAATAGAAACCATCAATTACCCATTCATTTTTATTTCTGAGGTTAGCTTGCTCCTTCTAGTACAATGTGTTACATGAGAATCCTACTCATTCCTCCTCTGCATCTGCTTCATTTCCCAGAATCTGTTAGTATAAATGAAGATCATGTTTCAAAAATCCAACCATGATAAATGAATACTAAAAGCTTAAGCCACCTAACTGCAGTAGGTACAAGACAGGCAAAAAACGTGGTTTGCCCTAATATAAAGAGATGCATTCATGATTTTGTTGGTCACTTCTACTGCTAGAAATCTGCCTGACTCGACCTGAAAATGTCACCCGGCGGAATCTGAATTCTTTACGGGCATATTGGTTAAGCATCTGGATGTGTGGTCAGATGACTAAATTAGGAACACGATTTTGTGTAGAGATGCTGATTTACATCCCTAGTCAATTTCCTGCCTCCTCTTTCTATGATACTATTGTTACTGGAACTATTCAAACATTATTTCATGGGGGAGGCAGGTCTGTCAAGCAGAAAAGATCAGGTCCACACATGATGGTCCAATTAAACTGATGTATTACTACTCATGCCTATGCACAGAAATCTTAACTAATGGTTAGCACCTGCTAGGGAAGGAGTCCCCAACCCTCATGCCGCGACCCACTACCAGGCCTTGAGCCTTTCAGAACTGAGCCGTGGAAATGGTGGGCGCACGTGGAACCATCCCCTCTTCCTCCCAGTGGTCCGCAAATCTGAAAAGATTGGGGAACTCTGTGCTAAGGATTAGATAAGGGATGAATGAATTCAAAGAGTGGGTGGAATTAGCTTGTTTGTGGCTATGTAGAGATTCTAGGCTGATCCTTTTTTAAACTTCCCCTCCAGGTTCTGCCACTTTTTCCCCTAGGAGGTCCTATTGGAAGGAGTAGCTTATGAAGCAGGGAGAAGGGAGGTACTCTGAGAATCAAACCAAACCAGTCTGCTCACAAAAGGGTCTCCTGCTCAACTGCAGAGCTCTTCTCTAACAGCTAAGCCTACTCAGCAAGGCCTCTCAGCTCCTAGGTTTCAGGCAGAAATCATGAAGAAGAGATAGAACCTGCCTAGAAATGCCTGAATTCATCCGAAGTATTGAACATAACAGATAACCTATTTATTACTCAATATTTTATACAACAGCAGGGTATAATTATTGAAACATGAACAATTCATTCTTTTTGGGACATAAGAATGGAAGAAAGCCACCTTTGTGCATCTTTGTGACATCTTTGTGCATCTTTGTTTAAATAAAATTAGTTAATATTATAAAGAAATTAGGCTGCATACACAAAGTATTTTAAATATATTTTAATATTTAGAATATAGTATTGATACATACTGTTTGTATATAAGACAACACTGCTATTCTCCCAATAGGAAATTCCTTGCTACTCTTATTCCATGTCTGAAAATGTCCTAGGAATACTATATTTAAAAGGAACTTGAAATGCTCAGGTAATATACAGAAACTCCAATGGAAATGATTAATTTTTGCACATGTAGGCCTCTGAAAGAAGGGATGCAGCCCTTCAACCGGGCACATAATGTACTTCTTTAGGACAGAGCCAATATTTGTGATTTGTTGCTTCAGGCTCTCCATTAGTAAAAAGAAGTAAACTATGTATTGATCATGGCTTAGGATGTGTACACAATTGATTCCATTGCTTAGGATTGTTTCTTATAGGTTGCTTGCTTCTGTCATCCCAAGTATTGAAGCAGTTCTCTTCAAGGTTCTTTAGGAGTTTCAGGTCTAATTCACCACTGTTTCTTTAGGTAAAAATATCTGCTAAATGTATGTTTGTTTGTTATATTATATAAAGCCAGTTTGGTGTAGTGGTTAAGGCACCAGGTTAAGGCCTTAGGCATGAAATATGGCTCGGTGACTTTGGGCCAGTCAATTTTGTCTCAGTAACCTCACAGGGTTACTTGTTTTGGAGAAAATAGGAGGATGGAATATTAAGTAAATTTGCCACCATTATAAGAAAGTAATAAAGGCAGGATATAAGTAAACCCATCTGGCTTAATTGTAAAACTTTTGTTACTTAAATATAGGCGAATGTTGAAATCCATTAACATAGGAATCATCAGGAGCCACTTATTTGAGACTAGCTCCTAATATGGCTTTTCACAAAACTATGTCACAAGAAAACTCCACAGCTCTGAACATGCTGGCTGCTTCTCATAATTGACTGGGAAGAAAGAGCCCATTTGTGGGGAACTATGGCATAGGCAGACTGCACAACAGGAAGAGGAATAGAATGGCTGCGTTTTCCTTCTATCCTGCTTTTCTAACTAAAACAGATGAATAGAAGCTCCCATTCTTCATCAGTGCTGATACACAAGTCTAATACAGACATAGAACAAGGATAGACTGGATGATCAAACTATTTATTGAAATCAAAGAAAGGGAACATGTATAGTATTGAAGGGTGCAAGGAAAAGGCAAAATACTATTAAGAACATTTCTCCCCCTAACAATAGCAAAGCTGTACAAATGTTTTTTAAAAAATAATTTTGCACAAGATTTACACTGTACACTCCTTTATTTGTACAAACAGATCAATGTTTGCACTTTGCGCATTTCATTTATAGCTTATTATATTTAAATACATACAGTACAGTATTATGCCTTTCACACAATTAAGGTGCAATTTATCAAAACATGATTATTTGAATAGTTACTTTTCAGTGTTCTTTGGCACGTACCTGGATTATTTATTGAACAGAACAGTGTAAGACTGTCTAAGGCTACAGATTCGTTGTTCGTTGATAGTAATTAAGTGCATTTTTTTCAAATTAGCACAAGCTTATTTACAAAATCATTATCTTCTATGAATTTCAGTTTGTGTTACGTAGCTAACCGGCAATGTCCAAAGAAAAGTTTTATCTTCTGCAATAATGTTTTTCAAGAGAGAATAAAACTGCACCATAGGTATTGGTGTTAAGCACTAACTAGATGAACTATTTAACAGTACGGAATGTTTTCATAAAGAAATCACACTCAAATGGTCCATATGAGAATACATCTCCATTACTCTACACTATGAACTTTCATAAAAGGCTGCTATTTTATCTTTCACCAGTCAAGGTGTATATGCTGGTAGACAAGCTGGTATATAATTCACCATAAGCCTGCTTCTCGGTCATGAGACCTGTATTTTGGTACTGCAAGCTTTCTGATTCAGTTACAAGATTAAACAAAGAAGCAAACAAACAACATGCAGTGAATCACATACAGTAAATGCAATACTTTAAAAACATACATTTTCTCTAAGCCATTCAGTGAATAGCTGTGAAGTTAGGGTTGTATTCAATTACACCCTCTCCCTCGATAGAATAGCATCTGCAATGACACATAAGGAATTTGGATTGGAATGGACAGGAGACTAGAGGAAAGATATGAAATTATAGTTTGCTTGTATACCCATGAAATGCATTCTTTTATCTCCTCTATCAAACAGAAAGCTCTAAAATTGTGTCTTACAGCTTCCAAAAGAAGATTACCAAATGAGGAAAACTACATTATTAGGGTTTACTGTAGTTTGCTGCAAAGCTGTTGTGATTGGATTATTCAAGAAGTTCCACTATGTCATAGCTGTAATTTCTAATGGAAATGAAAATATAAAGTTCTCAAGTAATAATTTCCAATTTCAACAACAAGATTTAAAAATACACATATATTTTCAAAAACTTCACACTTACTCCAGAACTATCCTTCTGTTTTTTCTATTTAATAGTTAATTAGCTACAGGAGTAATTATTTTTGCACAGAATCAATTTAAAGAGAAATGTCTCAGTAGCAATTGGAATATAAGAATAGTGAGGATATCATTTTAAAAAATAATTCTGTGCATGGAATTCTGTGCATCTGGAAATACTGTTTTATTATTCCTCATAAATAGCTTGTTCCAGCTCATTGCTCCAACTTCTGGGAATGGTCATAGTAAGCAGACATCTAAGAATCCCTAGAAATACGACACAGCTTTTTAAAAGATTAATATTTTTATAACCTGGCTTTTTCATATATCTGTACACAATGACCGAATCCTGTGATAACTACGAGCCAAAGACAATCTGTCCCAAAGAAATGTATTTATCCTCTGAATCTCGCTAAAAGATTTCAATTCAGAATCTTAGACAGGTGCTGCTGAGGAATCTTAGAGTGCTAACATTCATTCTCAACTATGACGGAACATTTTTTCTGACAACATAACTAGGCTCGAGAATATACTTATATTTCTGTATTGGGCCTCCTGAAGAAATCTCCACAGCTCTGAACATGGATGGCTGCCTCTCATCAATTGACTGGGAAGAACGAGCCCATGTTCCCAGTTGTGGGGAAATATAGTATGGGCAGCCTGTACAACAGGAGGAATGGCTGCATTCTCTGTTTTTGAATGGCTGAGGGAAATGGGAATTGTGAGATATAGATATATATAGATATATATTCTTTTCTCTGTATGCCTGTAGGAATACAGGCAGAAGACAAAGAACAGCATGAGGAATCGATAGTGTAATGATCCCAAGATATGGATTGACTTAGGGTCTCTCATGTCCTTTAATCCAATGTGGTCCTCTGTTAGTCAATCGACTTTAGAATTGTGATGTCTGGGTGAATGATATGGTGTCAGACTTATCAACTGCAAAAGCTCCATTCACATAGGATTTTTTTGTCTCTTTTTCCTCACTGTCGGTTGTTTCCAAAGCAAAAGGATTCACAATGTTAACTTCAGAGATGGTGTCCATCTGCTCTAGTTCCATTTTGGAGAGTTTTTCCACAACTCCAGTTCCAAAGGCATCACCAAGAACATTAACCATTGTTCTGAATCGATCCCTACAAAACAACATTTTTAGGATAGTCAGGATAGGTGGCAATAAATTCAACCTATATATAAACAAGATTTGTATCCCATCATTATCAATATTGGCAAAAATATGTCAGTTTAGAATTCTTACACTGTAACTAAAGATATGATGCAAAGATCAAATAAATTTTGAGGAGTCTCATGTGGCAATCAATAATTCATTTTTCAACATTGGAATTTTAAGTGTCCTTGACCATCAAAGTCCAATCTAATATCTGTTGGCTTTCCCGTTTCTGCAGAGCTATCTGCTTTGGGGTCAACAGAATGACAAAAAAAAATGCTGGGGTCTAGGGTTACATTATACCTACATCTTCATCACTTATGTAGTATTGGAGATTTCTAGGTGGCAAGTACTAGGACCACTGAACTAAAGACACGGTAAGGAAAATACGGAATAGCTATACAAAGTGGGTGAGAGAGAGTAAGGAAAAGGATGGATGAAATGCTGAATGCATCTGGGACAGTGGTGAAATGTAAAATCTGTTACTACTGGTTCTGTGGGCGTGGCTTGGTGTGTGTGGGGGGGTAATGTGACTGGGTGCGCGTGGCCAACTTTTTTTTTTTTACTTTTAAAAGCATTTTTCTACAACCTCTTTGGCTGAAGAGGTTGCAGAAAAAAATGCTTTTAAAAGCCTCTGACAATCCCAGCTGAGCCGCGCAATCAACAGAGGCTTTTTTTTTTACTTTTAAAAGCATTTTTTCAGCCGGGGAGGTTGTAGAAAAAATGCTTTTAAAAGTAAACAAAAAAAAAAAAGCCTCTGATGATTGTGCAGCTCAGCTGGGCATGGGGCGGGGGGCACAGGGATTTTTGCTACCGGTTCTCCGAACTACCTGCTGCCATCGCTACCGGCTCGGGAGAGCCAGTCCAAACTGGGAGCATTTCACCCCTGAACTGGGAGGACTACAGGTAGGAGACAATATCCTCTGGAATTTTCATCATATTTTGTGAATAAAATAGGGTAACTGTGTGGCAGAGCCTTCTTATAAGCACTGACTTTCTTATACAGTACTTTGGTCATAACTTTTGACCAACCTAAGGGAAATGTCAGTCACCACTGCTATAAATTCAAATTCTAGTAAATGCAATACTACTTCTTCTGCATGAAAGAGTTTTTGGCCTTTGGAAAAAGAAAAACATTAAATCAGGAAATCTAATGACTGTCTTAAGTGTTGGAGTGTTGATTTCCTATTCTCCAGACACATCTTCAGCAGATTGGCAGGGCCTTTTTTAAAAAAAGGTGCTTCCACTTGGCAAAGGTATGCTAAGCACTTAATATAAATTCAGGGATATTGAACCCTGCACTCTGAGTTACTTTTTACAAGGTGAAAGATTATAGAGTTAAGGTAATAAGTGAAACAATGTGAAAATCTTCTAAAGTAATGAATTGCTTGGTATTTCATTCCTTCTGTATATAATTATCATGTCATTTTCTTCCTGCTGAAAGAATATGTCTTCTGAAAAATGCATCAGATGTGATTACAAGTTTATAATGATATTTCAGATGGTGTTAATTTTAGCTACTATTGCATGCAAATAATGAAAAAGTTCATGCAAAAGAAAAAAAGGGAATATTATTGAATATTCTGGAGCGTTAAAATGAATACTCAGTCCAATACTTATTAATACTGCAACACAGTGTCAACTAAATGTTAATGAAGTTGTGAAATATCTTAACTGGTGCCAGCAGAAAACACTCATTAGAAGTATACTGATTACACAATGCAATGGGTTCATTGATATTTTTCATGTAAAGAGATGCATAAGAAGTGTAGGAACTTACAGAAGCCAGTCCACGGCAATAATGAGGGTAACATCTTCAGCTGGCAGTCCCACTGCACTCAGTACAATCACCATGGTAACAAGGCCCGCCTGTGGTACCCCTGCTGCTCCAATGCTGGCGGCTGTGGCTGTCACACTGCATCCCAAATCAAAAAGACAAAATAACTGAGGTGGGGTCTGACCAACAGAACATAAAATGGTATTTGTAAACTCTGTTGATGGCGCCTGAAACTGCATTTGCCTTGTTTTACAGCTGTTACCACATCACTGATTCATATTTCTTTGTAATCAAAAGACAATGAAAAGGGCAAAACAAGGTGCTTCTGAACAACATGAATGGAATAAAAAAAAATAAAAGTAATGAAATAATTGGATGAAATTGAAGTAGGAAATGGTGGAAGGAATGTTTTAGAGATGTTTATGGGGCAGTGGGATGGTAATATTAAAATGAATGCTGTAAATACTAGGTGGTGGAAAGGAAGCCGTAAGCGATACAAGAATGTTGAGAAATCGGAAGGCTGCAGGAATAAACAGTGTTAACTGGACAACTGCTCAAAGGAATGGCTTACAAATTGTTTGTTATTATTTCCTTGTTTAAGAGCTCCCCATCTTGAGATCCTTTTCTTACTAGCTTCTCCAGACATGGAATAAGACTCATTATTACTCTTTCATAAAAATATTTTGACATTGAAGATGTGTTACACTGCTAACTACTGCCAGCTGAGCCAACTTGCTTGACAGAATACGGTATTCAGAGAAGAGAATATGTCCCAACTTGAAAAACCAACAATCTATAACTCTATCAAGAAGCTACAAACCTCTTTTCTGCATCTTCCTTCTATTTCTGTTGTCTATCAAGTCAAGCAATTTGTAACGTAATATATTTGAAATTAGTTATAAAAGGCAATATGGTGTCCAAATATGATGATCTTAGTTGAGTAATACAGTTAAATTCAGTGATACTCTGAATTTAGCAACACAATGTGTAAATTAGTAATGAATACAGCTAATCGGTTTCAGTGCTAAGGCAATCCACTGAGCACAAAGTTGAGTTTTACTGTTAAGTGTTGAAATATAATCCATGCCACAATTTAATTGTGACCAGAGGTCTTGTTTTTATGAGAGTGTATTGCAGCAAAGCATAATTTTACAGGAAATTCATCTCAGGAAGCTAGATGACCTTCAAGGTCCCTTGCAACATTAAGATTCTCTGATTCTAAATATTATAGATGATGAAAAAAGGTAATGGTTACTGTGAAAATAATAAAATAAAATATGTGATACAGCATAATCCTTACCTTATGGTCACTATTTGGCCAATGTCTAGCTCTAAGTCATTAAGCTGTGCAATAAAAACAGCAGCTACTGCTTCATACAGTGCTGTTCCATCCATGTTGATAGTTGCTCCAACTGGTAAAACAAATCGAGTAATTCTCTTGTCAACATGATTTTTTTCTTCTGCACAGCGAAAAGTTACTGGTAAGGTGGCTGAACTAGATCCCACAAAATCAAGGGGAAAGATAAAGACATTAAGAAGAAATAGTCAGTAAGAAGCCAATATGCGCATTTATTAATTTCACAGTCAGATTAAGACAAAACTAACATCAATAAAAAATACAGCATGTATGTGATAAAGTCTAAATTAATATTCTTTATCTTTATCTTTATTCAAATTTCTATACCGCCCTTCTCCTTTTGGACTCAGGGCGGTGAACAGCCCAAAAATAAAACATTTTATATACAAAAGTTAAAATAAATTTAAAATAATTAAATAAATTTGGCCCATTAATTTAAAACATTCCAATTAAAACCATATCAAAATTATTTAAAACCAATCATAAAATCAGGACAGCCCGGCTAACTGAAAAAAATAGGTTTTGAGAGCCCGATGAAAAGTCCGGAGGTCTGGGATCACTCGTATCTCTGGGGGCAGATTGTTCCAGAGGGTGGGTGCTACCACAGAGAAGGCTCTCCCCCTGGGGGTCGCCAGCCGACATTGCCTGGCCGACGGCACCCTGAGGAGGCCCTCTCTGTGGGAGCGAACTGGCCGGTGGGAGGCAATTGGTGGCAGGAGGCGGTCCCGTAGATATTAAATGAATGTCTGAAATAAATCCATGTGTAAATTCATTTATACTGTATTACCCAAATGTAAGCATAGGAAAAAAACTGTTATCCTTACCTGGAAGAAATCATGAGTGCGGTCAATAGTGCTTGAGCCATACCTATGGCAAACTGGTATGGATTCTTCCGCACTATGATTAAATATATTAGTGGTAGAATTACCACAGAATGGATTGCAAGTCTGAAATAGGAAACATACATTAACTACAGGAATATTTAACATTAGAATCGTAGTGAACAGATGTAGATGGGTTTCAAAATTTATCAACAGTAAGAGAAGCAGATTTTCTTAAAATCTATAAAGCTGTTTAGGCTAGACCACAAATTAGCCCTTTTGTATTCGATAACATAAGGTAGAATGTTTTTAAATACTAATAAAAACTTTCAATTAGTCATTAATTAATCATTAAATGCATGTAAATCAATCTGGATGTCTTTTGTGTTCTATGAAAATAACTGAAAAGTGGCAATGTGGAACAGAGAAGAAAGAATGAAGCAATCTTTCCGTCTCTTCTTTAAGCAAATTTCTTGAAACACATTTGTAGGTATTTGCAAATATCATGCATTAGGAAATCCTCTATTCTCCCAACATTTCTTCCCCACTTGTGCAATGCACCCAAATAATATTCTATTTTACATGAATCTAATAAGGATTTCAGACCATGAATATGCAGCCTAAGAATAGTTCACAATAATCCACCAATACTCAGATTCAAGTGCTTTCTCTTATCTTTCATATCTGAGGCAATCTGTTTTTTTAATATATTGCCTGAGAACTAACAATTGAATTTAAAATATTATATTCTTAATTCAGTATATTTTCAATGTATCTGAAACACAATGAATATCAATACAATGAAAGTTCCCCTAACTATAGAAAAACCTGATTTATCAATTCAAATTCAAAAGAAAATAAATACATTTTATTAATTAGAGGAATAACGTACCCACTCAACACAGTGGCCATATAAAGACCTAATTTGCGAAAAATCTCCCAGTCTTCAACTTCTATTATCTTTCCAGCAATCAAAAACAAAATACCTAGAGGCATATACCTAGAATGTACAAAGAAACATTACAATTTATGCCAAGATAATTTGCAACTCTTTATTTGCAATTCTTTCTATATAACAAGAATACACAGGGGAGAGGAATGCAGTATTATTTCACAGACAGGATATTTATCTAACTTTTCTTACATCTATTGGAAAGGATGGAAAAACTAAATGGACAGATCTGGATATCTGAATAGTGTTTTTGTAGATTGTTTAGCTGAAGTAAGCACATTTTCCCCAAAAGATCCATACCACAAAGTAAGATAATTGGTGACAGCTTTCTTCTGGCCATTTGAATGGAAACTTTGAGGAACAAAAAGCAATATTTCTAAGAAATCCAAAAGATTAGTAGGATTATTGGAAGTTTGCCAAAAGATATTGATTATACCAATCCTTTGGGTAGAACCAATTGTACAATTTTGGCATTCCTAATATAAATCTATTTAATCATTCATTTAAAAAGACAGTATTACCATTAAAACATTATAACTAAATAAAAATAATCTTATAGAGTAATCCACAACCAATATTTCAGAAGCTATCAAAATGATTGATTGATTCTGATTGTGAATTATTTTGTTTGAATTTATTCAATTTCAACTTATTGAACAAGAATGGTGCCATTTTCCACAAAAAGATATCTTAAAAAAACAAATGAACCCATCTTAAATCCAAATTTGATGTATCTATGGAAATCATTCAACTATGGCTACTGATGAGTAATTTATCTCATTAATTTCCATGCATCTATTCTAAGCATGATCAAATCTGCATTTAATTTATAATTTGGAACATAAATTTTACTGGAATTCTAATTATTTGGCGACCAAGTTAATTAATTCAACTTAGCATGAGAAGCAATTTCTCAAAATGATATTTTGTTTGATCAAACCATTCAAACTTCCAGGTAGATACTTTTTTTTTTATTATTAGTTGAACTGGATCCTTATGTATATTTTAAATTATTTAGATACACATATGTACATATGTCCCATATGTAGCTACCAAATGCAAAGCATTCAAAGGTGAGGTTTGCAAAATGCATGAGCAAAGCAGCCATATCTTCTCAAAGGGTGGCAGACTTTCTGAAGCCTTTCCCTGCTCTTGGATCAAATGTGCAACCAAGTAGTAAAAAAAATTAATGAAAAAATACTCTCTCACTTACCACATAATTATCTGAACTATATACATTGTGGCATCGTTCAGGGCATTGAAAAAATCCACCAGCACTTGTCCTTTTTCTCCCATTTTCCCAATAACGATTCCGAAGACAAGACAAAAGACTATCAATCCAAGCACATTAATACCATCCGAATACATGCCCACTATTTTGTATTCTTTAGTTTTGTTCTGTAGGTTGAGAAGGGAAGACGGAAATGCTCAACAAGCAATAACATATTTTGCAAAGATGAAGATTAAACAATTAAACTCTTGTCTGGGAGCAGCTTAACCTTGCTATGGGTTTGTTTGTACTCAATTTTTTTGCCTATATAGTGTCATAGGGCATCTGTAGCTTGATCTTAAAGGAGTTAGCTTTGCTACCCATTAAATGGGCAGCCCATTAAAATGGGGTGGAGCTTTGATCATGACACTGGGCCCATCATCAGGCAGATATTGTCCCCTCCTCTACAGACACTCCTGTCTTCAACTTCATGTTATTAGCCATTATTTTAACAACCTGAATTTCACTATACAAATTATTTCTACATTATTTCAGTAATGTGAATGCTATATAATACACATTAGCAGCCATATCATAGGAATCACCTAATAATATCTTAAAGACTTATAGCAATTAAGGATACCGGAATCTTTCTGTTGTGCCACAACAGAATGACACAGTTGCCTTCTCTTTACCTGCGAGGTCTCAGTTGGCATTATAGCTGTGATTGGTTCATCTGTAGGAAAGGTTCCATTTTTATCTGTGCTTGTGATTTTTATTTCTTCACGTTTGGTCTTATACTGGAAGGTAAGAATACATGAGTTGTGTCAGTGGAGAATGATGAAGGAAATGTTTATTTTTAAAGCTCTTTTAAAACTTCGTTAATAGGCAAGGGTTTACATGTACTACTATTGCTTCTAAGACACTATCAGTACCATATCTGTTTTATTTTTTGCTATTCCTTTTTCTCTTATTTTTTATACAGAGCTTGTTACACATCAAAAACTTAAGAATCTGGGCAGATAGGGATCCTTAAGAAATGGATAATTATGAGTATCTGTGTAACTATCAATTGATGATTGGTTCTTGCTTAAAACTAAGGATTTGATTGAGATACATTTTCTAATATTAAGAAAGAAAAGTTAAAGGTGGTGGGATTTGTTTTTAAGATACAAAAGGTACAGAGTCCAGAAGAAATCATATGGATGTTTATTGACTGCCAACTAGTGATTTGCATTATCTCCTCAACAGTGATTATTGGAAAAGGAAATGGATTCTTAATTACAAAATTTCATATTTCAACATTACATACTTTCATTTGATTTTTGTACACAAAGTCTACATGTGTAAAAATAAAGTTATTTCTTCTGGACCAGGATCTAAAATAATAGGTAATAATAAACAGTCCAACCATTACATAAGAAGATGCCAAAATTTCACAGAACTTCTGCTAATGATTACAAAAATAGAATTTACCTGTTGGAAGCAGGCCTGAACAAGATTTTCTGGGAACATATTTCTGTAAAAGGGTTAAAAGAGATAAACATGTAATTGTTGAAAACATATTCAAGAACCATGATGTAATAAGTCTTTTTCTCTTACTTCAAATCTTTGACTTGGCTTAGTTATTTAACTGTTCAAGATATGAACCCTTAAACTATCTGGGTCCTGTACTTTCTTTTTCTCAAATATATTGTTTTTCCCTAAAATTTCAGTTTACAGCACTTTGTTCTTTGTGTTACACAAAAAGCAAATTCCAGCAAGTAAGGAAGGAATCATTCCATGAAATAAAAGAAAAAAAGCAGACATGAAGAAAGCAGAAATATATTGCCTTCTGAACCTGAACAGCCCTGCATTTTTTCTACAGTTGTATAGCAGATGTTATTCTTTTTTTAAAACTGTGGCTTAAATTGGGAGAAAGTATTTTATTATGCATTTTTAATAAATAAATGAGGAATGAATTCAGAGTAAAACTGAAAAGTGGAAGCTGATTTGCCTGATTTATTTTCTTTTATGAAGAAACATTATCAAGCAACTTTCTGAAAACATAGGGGATAAAGGAAAATAGCAAAATGGACTATATATTCTGGAATGGGAAAGGTCACTCCTGAAAATTTCTCAAAGGTACTATCAATTACTCAGATATTCTCCCTATTTATCCATGCCTCAGCACAATTCAATAGGGTCCTCATCTCTCAGGAGAATATTTAGGAGACGGTGTTGCCTTATTAAAGTTTTTAAATTGTGAATGTAATCCATTGTTTTAATGACTCACCTAATTAAGTCTAACATGGCATCCACTGTAGACACTTCCGGAGTGCTACCCATCCTGTCAATTTCATCAGCTTTCTGAGATACTCCTGGTTTGATAGTCACAACCAATACAATCCCTATAATTGGAGGGGGGAGGTTGAAGGGGAAGGGCAGAGAGAACACAGCCTGAACAAGTTGAAAACTTGCAGAAAACATTTTTTTAAAAGATAGCAGCGCAGCTATATAAATGAAAGATGAGAATTATGCTTGCCCTAAATTCAGGCCTTGGTTGTTCCAAACATGTAGTTTATTATTTTCTGACATATAATCAATGCTTTATCTTAGAGTATAGGAACACTACTAAATCAGAGCTGCAGACAAACCTAAGTTATTTTGCTAAACCCTGTGGTTATTTACAGCAAACGGGGGGGGGGGGGGGGTTTCAGCTATCCTTAATATTTCTAATGACCTTGGAATACAGCTTTGGAATTATGGTTTCCCCTCTGATGATGGTAAACCCATTAGAAAATAGCCATGTTGGTTTCTGCTAAGCTTTATTGTGCAACTATGCTGCTTTTTTCACAGAACCTATAGCAAGCTTAACTGTAAGGTATTTCAATTAGTAATCCTCATAACTTTCCACACCTTTGCTTCTTCTTTTTAATCAGAAAGAGGATTGATTAGAAGCCTTCCATTTAGAAGCACCCCAATTCTGCTGTGATTTATGTACAACTTACTTAATCATTCGACTAACTGTCTCATTTCTGTACCACTACAACTTGATAAAATCTCTTTCAGGAAGCAAAACTAGGAGTTATTCCTTCCAAACTAGATAGTCAATCACATGGTTAAATATTAATTTTGATAGTAAAGAGAAACCTGTATCCTCGTGAAATGGCACACGGAGACTATAACCTGGACAAGAGGTGCAATCTCTTACTGTTTATCATGACACTCTAAGATGGATAATATCCAAGTTTGTTCTTCTCTGTAAATCGAAGTTAGATAAAAATTGACTATTTATTGCTAGTTTGCTAACTTATTAAAAATGCCCCACTACATTTCAAATGTAAGGATTTAATTATTCAAGGGTTGAACGACTTATTACCTAAAATTACAGCTAAGGCAGTAGTGAAGAAGTAGTACACAACTGCTCGCAGGCCAATCTTTCCAGAAACACTGGAGTCCAATGCAGCAACACCTGGAAAGATTTTAAGGAAAAAGAGAATTTTTTACTGTATATATTTATAAATAAACCCAGTGTGATATAGTTGTGATATATTTAACTGCATTCTTCATCTTCCTATAATAAGAATTACCTTTCTGGATTGGGTCATAAATCCAAGTAGTCTTGCACTCTGCTTCCAATATTTGCTGACTATACAATCAATTTTAAGTTCACAAGCAGAATATTATGGCTATCATTCTTGCCTATCTCTTGCATGGATAATCAAAGATACATTGTTCTAAACAGGGAGATCTGACTTGGCTGTCAAATCCAATATTCAGATCTCTTTCCTGCTGTATTATAGTGTATCTATGAGTGTGCATGTGCACATACAGTATGCATATTTTATTGTTTGAGATAAATACTACTCCTTTAACTTGGTGGAAGAAAAGCCAGCAATTTTTTAAAAATCAAAAGAACCTTAAAGAAATTTAGTTATTATATATCACAAAATACTTAAATCGGAATAAATGTGCTGATCTTTGAGTACATATATTCCCATCATGCTATTATTCAAGATAAACTATACAGGTAGTCCTTGATTTACAACAGTTCAAAATTACAACAGCACTAAAAGTGACATATGACTATTTTTCACACTTACGACCATTGCCACATCCTCATGGTCACATGATCAAAATTCAGCCACTGGGCAATTGACTCATATTTATGACAACTGAAGTGTCCCAGGGTCATGTGATCACCTTTTGTAATCTTTTGACAAGCAAAGTTAATGGGGAAGCCAGATTCACTTAATAACCATGTTACTAACTTTACAACTGCAGGCATTCGCTTAACAACTATGGCAAGAAAGGTCATAAAATGGGGCAAAACTCACTGAACAAATCTCTCACTCAGCAACAGAAAGTTTGGGCTGAACTGTGGCCATAAGTCGAAGATTACTTCTATTATATTAAATTCAGGAAAGCAGTCAGAAATAGTCAAAATATTAAAGGCATGAAGTATAAAAATAAGGAAAAAACAGCTAAACATAGTTATAGCAACATGGTTATTCATAGTGATTCACAATACCTCTTCATACCTTTTTATCTTCATTTCTACCATGTCCATAAACCGCTTCAAATATTGTCTTTTGTGTTTCAAACTTGTTACCCCTCTATTTTTAAAGATCTCATCAACTTTTTGGTCTTCTCTTCCTCTCAAATCCGTTCACACTTCCTTTACCTTGTTGTTTTTTGCAGTTTGATTTTTTTTTCCTATATGAACAATCTACCTCAATGTACATACAGTATTTCATTGTGATAATTTAGTTTTGCACTTAGCTTGTATTCATTCATCATCCATTCTTCACCCAACTCCTCTTGTTTGGCCTTATTCTTAAATTATTTTTCAGTGCATTCAACTTATTTTTAAGTTGAATAACCAATACAACTAATTGACATGATCAACTCTCACTTTCATTTAACAAAGTTGGCTGAAGAACACTAATGCAGTTATCATTTTCCTTTTTCTTACAAATATTTGTTTCTCTCAACAGACCATATACTTTTCATTACCTTCCAGCCAGCATTTGCATGTCTTAAAATTTCTCACTCATTTCCCCATCTTTAGGAAACATCTGACCAAGATGTACACAACAATTTATATATAAATTACTACTGTTTACCACATTCTTCCTGTTGAGCACAACTACCTTTGTTTTTCATATACTAATTTTAGGTTCATACTCCTTGTTAGGTAAATTGTATGATGTAATGTCTACTGAAGATAGTTCTCACCCTTAATATAGCGTTATCTGCATACAAAAGTGTACACATATTTAAGTCCCCACCAACTAACTAACATAGCTCATCACTAAGGTGACCAGACGTCCCGCTTTTGGCGGGACAGTCCCGCTTTTTAGCAATTTGTCCCGCGTCCTGCGGCATTTCAAAAAAGTCCCGATTTTTCATTCTGCCTCCTCAGTCCCGCTGCCTCTTGAGCCCCAGCTGATGGCTAGAAGAAAAAAAAACTGTTTAAACTCTTGCCCGGGGCTTCAAAGGGCCGCCCTACAGGCAATCAGTGTAAAGAGTTCCTGAAGCAGTTTTTTTTTCCCCTAGCTAAGCTGCAGAAACGAAACCGAAACCAGGATCTTTGGTGGAACGTGACAAAATGAGGCAGAGAGAGATTTATTTTTATTTTTATTTTTCCTCCCCAAAAAAGGTAGGTGAAAAACTGCAAACAATGGGAAATTTAGGAGGAGAGTTCAAGATTTTAAAACACAAAAGAAAAAAAAGCTGTATTTAACTAGGGAACTGTAATAATTGAATTGAGATACTATTAATTGTATATTGTGTTGAAAGCAGAAATGTTTAAGTTGTGGTTCAGAGGAATATATGGGGGAAATTATTTGGTTTATTATTATTGGTAAATATAATTAATTGATTTGTAAGAAATTGGATTGCATGGAAATAATTGGAATATTCATGTTCATATTGATTAATATACAAAAAAGATAGTTTTATAACTAATTGATTTATATTAAAATGTTGAATTTGTATTAAACAACTGTATTACATAATTACATAATTAAACAATGTGAGGATGGATATAAAAATAGATGACAATGGAAAGGGGTATAATATAGAATAGAAGGGAAAAATTGAATTTGATTAAGATTAGAGATGAGGATGAAGGGTAATATTGGTTTTTTTAAAAAAACAGATGAGGAATAAATATGGCAAAAAGGAAATATAGAAATTGTAAATTTAATTGAAGTGACTAAACACTGTTTAAATTTGTGAACCGGCCAAATACTCTGTTCAAAGAAAATAAATTGTATGTTTGTATGTGTGTTTCTAATTACTGCTATTTATTCATATTTGTTCTCTTTTATTCTTTAAAGTTTAACCATTCATTCTTTATCTTAATATCTTTATATTTGTTTGGGGTTGGCTTTCTTCCCTTTCATCTTTTTTATTGTACAGCAATCTTTCTCCTCAAACCTACCACCTCTCTCTTTTCTTTCCTTCTTACTTTCTCTTCCCCCCCTCTTCTTCTCCTCCCTACTTCCTCTTCCTTTCTCCTTCTCCTCTCTTCCTCCCCCTCTTACCCTCACTCCTACTCTAATTTCCCTTCCCTTCCTTCATCCCTCTCTATTGCTGTATCCTTTTATGCATATGGACTACTCAGAGGGCTGAAAAAGTTATTTTTGACTGGTCCTCGCACTTTTGACCAGTCATCGAACTTACGACTGTCTTCACATTTTATGTTTTTTGCCCTATCTTATCACCATGGTGAAGAGAAGCAGTTGTGAAATGAGTGACATGGTTGTTAAGGATGCTGCATGGGCATAAATGTGAGGATGGTCATAAGTGTGAGGACCAGTCAAAAGTCGAGGACCTGTCAGAAATCACTTTTTTCAGCCCTCTGGTTAGTCCTTTTGTGCATATGGACTACTCAGAGGGCTGAAAAAGTTATTTTTGATTGATCCTCGCACTTTTGTCCAGTCCTCAAACTTACGACTGTCCTCACATTTTACATTTTTGCCCTATCTTGTCATCATGGTGAAGAGAAGCAGTTGTGAAATGAGTGACATGGTTGTTAAGAATGCTGCACGGGCATAAATGTGAGGATGGGTCATAAGTGTGAGGACCAGTCAAAAGTGCGAGGACCTGTCAGAAATGATTTTTTCAGCCCTCTGGTTAGTCCTTTTGTGCATATGGACTACTCAGAGGGCTGAAAAAGTTATTTTTGACTGGTCCTCACACTTTTGACCAGTCCTCAAACTTACGACTGTCCTCACATTTTACGTTTTTGCCCTATCTTGTCACCATGGTGAAGAGAAGCAGTTGTGAAATGAGTGACATGGTTGTTAAGAATACTGCACGGGCATAAATGTGAGGATGGTCATAAGTGTGAGGACCAGTCAAAAGTGTGAGGACCTGTCAGAAATGACTTTTCAGCCCTCTGAGTAGTCCCTATACACATAGCCATGGCCACCCGGTCACATGACCAGCTAGCCACGCCCACCCAGTCACATGGCCTCCAAGCCACGCCCACACAATAAGTCACGCCCACAATGGTGTCCTTACCAATGTTAAAATCTGTTCACCTTACCCTATACACATAGCCATGGCCACCCGGTCACATGACCAGCTAGCCACGCCCACCCAGTCACATGACCAGCTAGCCACGCCCACAAAATAAGCCACGCCCACAATGTCCCTCTTTACCAATGTTAAAATCTGGTCACCTTACTCATCACCACACAAGTTCTTTTTACCACTGCATTAAAGTAACATCATACATTTTAATTTTACTCCCTACAAATTTCTAAAATTTTCCCTCCAATATTCCATTTCACCATTTCCTTTTTAATTTGTTACTATAGTGGAGTATGTGTTCGACCCTTTGCCTCTGCTTTCCAAACATTTTATTTCTATTATAATTGTACATATATATTTAATGCACATTATACATTCTCCTCATTTTTTGCAATAATCAGGCTTTACATACTCTAGAAGGATGACTTTGTTGCAACAGACCAATATGGTTGCCTTTCTGGGATTTAATAATTTTTAAACTGTTTAAGAGATCCAAGAAACCATTTTATAAACCAGAATATTAGTTCATCCATATATCCAAAAAATTTAAAAAATCAATTTTATAAACTTGTATAGCATTGCAGGTAGCAAGCTACTTAGATGGAAGTTAGTAATTTTTTTCTTCATAAAAAACAGAATTAATTAATTCAAAGCCTGATCAAGTAACAAATGTTGTGTTAATTGTTCAAAACTAGGATTTTTAGAAGGAAACAAAATAACAAACCATGACTTGTACAATTAAGTACATTTGGCTTGTTTCTTATTAACTTTTTTGGCCTTATCTAGCCCTAGTAATAATAAGAACTCATCAGATGCACCATATGAGTATTATTTTCTTCTACCATCTAACCCTAAGGCTATGGCTGGTCCAGAATGCATTGAGGCAGGCAGTAATGAGCATGCCACAGTATGTCAACTGACACCATT